AGCCGCCTCCACGGGGGGCGAGACCGGCGCACGGAGCCAAACGAGGACCCAGACCCGGAGGACACTTACAGAGCTCGGTTATTTTCTCTTGCTGCTTTTTGCTGTTGTATCCACGGTAATACAATCACGAGATATAGATATATATATTATATATATACTTCTTAAATTACACAATCAATGTACAAAAAACCGGGGTGCATTGCTGAGACAGGTGGTTGGTTGGGTTTTTTGACTTTTTTTTGTGGGTTTTTTTCCCATTTGCATACCTGGCAGGGGACACGGGGCCGGGCGGCTCTTGCCCAGCACATGGTGCATCTCCTGCCTCCGCAAGAACACTCGATCCCTGGGGCCAAAAAACTCAGGAACCCATGGAGGGGGCAGGAGAGGAGCGGGAGGAGCGTGCAGGAAGATGATGGCGTTGATGCTGCTGAGGGTGACGGTATGGAAAAAAAAAATGCAAGATGATGTCTAGGGAAGAGCTCAGGAGGGTAAATGTGCCCGGGGCAGAGGGGTTGGGGTGACCATGCTGGGTGACGGTGCTCGTGGGTGCTGAGGGGGTCCCATCCATGCTGTGGTGGTTGCAGAGCCCAAGCGCAGGAGGCGTAGAGCCCCTTGGGGAAAAGCAAACGGCAAAGCCTGCGGCCATTGCCCTGCTTTGGCGCGTCTTGCTTTCGGCCATCTTCGCCAGGCAGCTGCTGGGCTGGGGTCTGCTGCCTGCACAGAGCCCTCCTCTTCCTCTGGCTGGCTGCAGCTCCTGCCAGCACCGTGCAAGGCTGGACGTTGCTTATCCCCCATCCTTGCCCTTCTGTCAGGAAGAGGGTGGATGGGGACCGTCCCCAGCAGCATCCAAGCCAGTCCCCGTTATCCCAGCCTGGGCGTGAAGGTGCTTCCAGCGGCACTGGGCCGCAGCGGGTCCTTCTCCAAAGAGCATTTTAGGGCCATCTCGCCCTGGATCTGGGTAACTGTCCTTGTGAAGGGTGATGCTGCTCCCTGCAGCAGACGTGGGGCATTGGCTCGAGAGCTTCCACCCACTCCAGGGACGTGGGCAGCCCAGACGCGAGGAGGAGGAGGAGGAAGCTGAGGAGATGCCACCAACCTCCATGGCACGGCTGGTGCCACCCCACCACGGCATCTCCATCTGCCACCAGACCTGCCCATGAGCAGGGACCTGCCCGCAGCTGGGGCCAGGGGGCTGAGAGGTGGGAGGGGACGTTCGTTACTTGCTTTGGGGAGGAAGGATGAACCGCGGAGAAGGACATGGAAACACCAAAAATATGGAGCCAAACTCCATCCCCTCCCATTTTTTTGGGGGTGAATTTGATTGGTCCCAGGAGCTTCAGCGCCGTGCATTTTGGAACAGTTCCAGCCAATCAGAAGGCGGCTCATGATTTCAGTATCTTTAAAAACCAACCAATCAGGAGCTCTCACTGGTTGGGCTTTAAGATCTTGAGGTATCGGCTTTTCGCTTGGAAAAAAATCAACTAACGTAGACGAACAGACAACGTCATCTTTCGCTTCACGTTATCTTAGAAGAAGAAGAAAGCGACTATGCAAAATACTCTTTGGAGACAACTCTTAAAAAAATAAAAGCTTGGTCGGAAAATATGTCTGAATCTCTAACTGTGGAGTGAAGGACCAGACGGCAAAATGGCTGGTTGGCTGGTGGAGAGATGGAGACAACGGAGGGTGGATTTATCTGCTGACGGCAACGAGGAGCACACCACAAGACTTAGATTGCCTCCACGTAGTTGGCGGGGTAGAGACCTAGCTGCCCGTTGTCCAAGCGCCCTTTGCACCATCCTTGCTCGTCTTCTTCACCGAGTTTGGTTAGTTCATCACCTGGAGAGGAAGGTGGAAAGGAGACAGCTCGTTGTAGGTGTTGGAGCTTCTTCTGTCCCCTCATTTCTCCCCTGGATGAAGCTGCTGGGGATTTCTGAGACTGAGCCTGAGCACACAGGTTTGTTGAGTAAAAAGGCAAGAGGTGACCCATGAGACCTCATGCATCCCATCCCACTACCTGTCCGGTCCCACCTGGATTTGGGCTCAGCTTGTGCCTTCCCCTTTCTGCTAGTTCAACATTTTAAAGGGTTGGGTTAACCCAGAAAATATTTGAGGGGTTTTATACCAAACAGCAGAGCAGTGTGGGAACTGCAGCTCCAGCAGCTGAGCCCCGGTTGACCTGGCAATGATGATGGACCATACCTGCTTTGAAGCTGAGCTCGTCCTGCTCCTGCCCGTCATAGTCGTACAGAGCCCGCACCCGCACGCCCTTCCCTGACGACTCCTCGTCGAAGGGGTTGGTGCCGCCGTTGGCCTCGCTGGTGTTGAAGGAGTTGCTGCCTTCATCGTCGGACCACTCCGCACTGTAGGTCTGCCCACGGTCATGGCTGCTAATGCTGGGGTGGGAAAGGAGATGGAGGGGCTGGCAGAGCTGGGAGTTGCTGCCTTCATCGTCGGACCACTCCGCACTGTAGGTCTGCCCACGGTCATGGCTGCTAATGCTGGGGTGGGAAAGGAGATGGAGGGGCCGTCAGAGCAGGTGGGGGGACGGTGGGGTGGGCGGGCACCATGTGCCACCAACATCAGGGAGGATACTGCAGCTTTCCCAAGGTTACAGGGGAGCAGGAGCTGCAGGGAGCAGGACCCCCATCTAATGGCACATCCAGCAAGACATGGAGGGAGGACTGAGAAGAGTGGTGGCTGTCTCTGAGGACATCCCATGTCCTCTTGGGTGTTCCCACAGAACTGGCAATATTTACACAGGCAAATGCCATGCCTTTCCCATGGCATCTCCCCTCCCCGCTGGCCCTCACCTTCCACGCTCGCCCGCTGGTGCCCCCGTCTCGCCCATGCTGCTGGTGTTGGTCAGGGTCACCCCCTCGCCCTTCTTCTGCTTCTCCTTCCGTGTTATCGTGTGCGTCAGGTCCGGGTTCCACTCCTGCAAGTACAAAGCAACTGGTCCCTGAGCACCCAGCCACCCCACAGGGCTGCCAGCACTCCAGCTGGGGTGCCCAGCCTCACCTCAAACTGGGGCCAGTTCATGGGCATCCCGGGGCCACTGGAGCTGCGGAACCACCGGAGATCCTCCTGTGCGTCCGAGAGGCGGATGGTCTGCTCCAGCTCCCGGTAGACGTTAGCGTAGCTGCAGGGAGAGGCATGGGTTGGGGTGCTGCGGGTGGGAGTGGACGCCGGTGGGGTGGGATGGGGACATGCCCAGGTTGCGTCACCTCCTACGAGGTACTGGGGGGCACCAGGCTCTGGCACAGCCCTCCTGCCACTCTGGTACCTCTTGGTGACCATCGCGTTGGCCAGAACCCCTCTCCCTTGTATCGCAGGGAAGGGGTTGGCCTGGAAGCACCTGGTCCCTCCAGGGCTTGGTTTGCCTTCTAGGCAGTACAAGGAGACCTTGTGTGGGCACTTTCTGCCTGGCCCACGAGGGAGGAACCTACCTGCTGCTCTCAGCCAGGTTCAAGTGCCTCTTGATGTCCAGCAGCACTTCCTTGAGGAAGTTGAGCCTCTTCTCCTCGAACTGCTGGCACTGCTCAAAGACCTGCTCCATGCTCTCGATGTACTGCGGGGTGCACTTGTTCAGCTCATCCAGCACCTTCTCGTACTTCTCCTGAGTCTGCAAAGGTGCAGGAGGGTAACTTGGTTATAGCATGAGCACCTCAGAGGCCCTTTCTGGGTGCTGAGAGGGTCTGGCTTGAGGGCCACCACGCTGGGGAGCCCAGATTAAGCCAAGAGCCTCTGTGGGGTGAAAGCAGTCTGGTTGCTGGAGAGATTTTGCCCCAGTAAGAGGGGTAAGTCTCTGACCCGGTCATGCTTCCCTGAGCACTGCCTGCAAGTCCTCACCCTTCTACAGCAGCGTAGGGATGGGAAAATGGGAATGAAATGGGCAAAGGGTGGTGGCCATTTCCACTGGTTTTCCTCACCCAACGCCTCATGAGCCCAGAGCAGGGTGGTGGCTCGCACCTTTTGCACATCTTGCTTGCACTTTTCCACTTTGTCCTGGAGCTTCTTCTGCTGCTCTGGGGTGTTGGACTGCTCTGCCTTGCTGTTGGCTTCCCGGGTCATTGCCAGCTTCTCCTCCTTGCAGGCCAGGTGGTAGGCTTTCTTGGCTGTCTCCAGCTGTGGGGAGGAGAGAGAAGGGACATCAGAGCAGCAGTCACAGCCCCCCGCCCATCCCTCTGCCTGTAGGCATGTGTCACCCTGCCCTCCCAGCCTGGACGGAGCACTTGGAGCTGGAAGATGGTGTGGTGCCTCAGGACATGCTGCGCTTCTCCTCTCACCTCCTTGAGCTTCTTGGCCCAGGGCTTCTGGGCTTTCCGGAAGCCGTCCTCAGCCTCCTTGGCCTCCTTGAAGCCTCCCATGATCTGCTTGTGGTAGGCATCCTTCTGCCAGTTCTTGACCTTCTCGAAGTCATCATTCAGCAGGCTGTTCTTCACATCCTGGTGCAGCTCGCTCACCTTGTCCGCCTCCGTCATGATGGCACCCCACGCCCTCTCCAGGCTGCCGTACTGGGGACCTGGGGGACAGAGAGGACAGCTAATTGTCACTCCACAGCCCTTACCCTCTCCACCTCTACCAGGTGAAGCTGTGACGGCGCAGAGGGACCCACGGGACCCAGGACTCATGGGAAGCCATGGTACCTTTCTCGATGAGCTGCCTCCACCGCTTGGACCAGTCGGTGAGCTGCTGGGCGTAGGACTTCTCGATCTTGGCCCGCTCATGCACACAGTTCATGAGGTCATTGCAGAGCCGGTGCCCGTCGTCAATTCGCTTCACCGTGCGCTTGTAGTTCCCCACCTGGGACGGGGACAGGGACAGGCAGGCATGGGAGCTGTGGCTGGGCTGCCTGGCTCAGCCCCAGTTGGCCCAGGGTGGGGACAGGGGGAGCATTGGGCACTTTGGGAGTGCAGGGATGGAGCTTTTGCTTTGGGACTCCTCAAACCCAGCTCCTTTTGGTCCCCTCCATCACTCGGCACCCCTCGGGGACAGCCGAGGTTGAGACCTCCAGCTGGGACACCTGAGCTACCACGGCAGGGATGCCTGCGGGCAGGGCTTGCTGTGGGAGGGGATGGCAGCCTGGGGGCCACCTTGGGATGCAGTGAGAGCTGTCGGGCCCCCCCAGGAGGAGAGGGCGGCCAGGACTCACCTCCCAGAAGCTGTCGGTTGTTTCCTCTGCAGCCGCTGCCGACTCGTCGCAGGACCCCAACATGGCTCCCCGGCG